AATCGCTTCCAACCTATCCACCCACTACAACTCCCAGAGAAATATTCTATGGTAAGAGAGTGTAAAACCGGATACAACTTATGATTTGAATAACCAAAAGCTTCCATTTTATGTTATCAATAATAAACCATCCGCACTCTCTTTAAATCCCTAAAAAATATTCTTCGGCAAGAAAGCAAATCACCGGACACAACTTGGGACTTGAACAACTGTAAATTCCCATTCGGATTCCCATCGCTTCCAACCTATTCACCCCCTACAACTCCCGCAGAAGTGCCCATGGTAAGAGGGTCGACCACCGAACATAACTTATGCCTGGAACAAATGCGAATTTCCATTTCAAGTTATCGCTCCTAAACCATCCCCATTCTCTGCCAACCCCTGAGATTTCCTCCTTGGCAAGAAATCATATCATCGGACATAAAATATGACTGCACAGTTGTATGTTTCCATTGTGAGTTATTGCTCTTAACCTACCCTTTTATCTACAACACCCGGAGAAGTACTCTATGGTAAGAGAGTTTACCACAGAACATAACTTATGATTTAAACAACTGTAAGTTTTTCTAAGTTATCGCTCCTTACCTATCCGCACTCTCTTCGGATCCAATCCCTAAAAAGTCCTCCATACAATTGTAAGCTTCTATTCTAAGTTATTGCTAATAACCTGTCCTCCTCCCTACAACTCCCGAAGAAATACTCTATTGTGAGGGAGTTTATCATCGGACATAACTCATGGTTGAACTGTAAGTTCCCAGTTAATGTTATCGCTCCAATCCTATCCCCATTCTCTACAAATCCAATCCCTGAATGTCCTCTTCAGCAAAGAATTATATCCTCGGACATAAATTATGATGGAATACACAGACGAACACAAACACCGACACACGCCGACGCCCCCACACTAACACAAACACCGTCTTAATTACCGATACACACACATCCCTAGTCTTTCAGCACTCTTGAATTTCTGCTCTTTTCCGAACCCCTTTGTACTTGGTGGCCTAGACTAGCGCCTTAACTATTATGTTGTAAGGAAAATACTTGCAGTTCCCGCGCATGCGCCATATAAATTTAATTTCGGCGGCTGTCGAATAAGATCAATCGAAGTATTGTGCTGCTTAGGAAGAGCATTAGCTGCCCTTTCTATTAGAGCGTTTTTATTGGAACTTCGTAAGGTTTTTGAAATCTCTAAAGGGCTTTTTTGCAGAGTGGATAAGACTGCATTTCGAAAGATTCTACTTCACAAGTTCAAGTTTGGTCGAAGTGCAAAGGTGGCAGCCACAACCATCCACGTTGCATAGGGAGAAGGCACTGCATCGGAGCGAACGGTTCCTCACTAGATCGAGAAGTTTAGAAATGCAGACGGATCACTGGAAGACAAAGAGCGAATTTGTCGATCAACGTCTATCATGATGCCTTGCTAAGAGCAGTCGAAGAAGATTGACGTCAGCCCTCGAGAGAGATTAAAGAGAAGATGGACATCTGCCACGTAGTCGTGGCTGGCCACCTCAAGTGGCTTGGAGTGGTGAAAAAACTCGGCAGGTGAGTGAATCGCCATGGTCCACTGCTTTTGCACAACAGTGCCTCTCTATCGGAATCTGTTGGCACTTGGCTCGCCTTATGGAAAAATCCAACCACGTGGTTGACTTGATAACTTGACCCTGAACAAATTCCGACTTGAGGCGACTTGAATTGACCTCGGTAGGAGTGGAGCATAAGAGAAGTATTCACTCATGACAACTTAAGATGATTGCTGCTTCCGACTAGGCTGGAGACGGCGATGCCAACTGGAGGCCTGAACAGATTCTCCCCATAGACGCTCTACTTGAGATGACTTCACTTGAGCTCGCAATAAGGAACAAGATCACTTGTATAATTATTTGAGATAAGAGAACGTAACACGTTAAGTGAGGAGATCGGGGCTTGAACCCAACCGGTACCCCTGAGACGGATGAGACGATATAGATTCATTGTGCTTGAGACTTGCCATTTTATAGCCGGCTCGAGCCCGCCAGATCATTGCACAGATCACGTCTCTAATCGAATAGGCTCGATCAAAACTAAACGACAGAATTAGAAAACGACAGGTAAACAACAAATAAACGAAAACAATAAAAAGAGGTCGCACTCGCGACGGTCCCACCTATTGGGAGATGTGCGCCCTTTCTCCAATTTGGGGAATTCCTCGACTTTCTGAACGAATCTGAGCTGTTGTTTTTCTTTCAGGTCAGGCGCTGGCAAACTGCGCGGTGGTGCCCATACGGAGAGATCACATTCCCGGATGGGGCTTCTCTCAGTAGCTTACAAGCCTTATGCAGTAACCTTTTCCCTTTTTTTTTGAGCACGTTCATTGCAAAATTTCACACACTTGTAACATCTGCCACAACATATAGCCACTTGTAGCCGCTGATTTCCGTCGCAACAACGACTTTCTGAACGAATGGGCACGAGTCTGAAAAATGAGCACCCACGACTGCACAGGAGGAACAGTCGAGACTGGGGTCGATGCCTTCGGAATACACTACTATCAGCCTGTGTGGATACTCGACCAGGACACATTCTGTAATCTCGATCCCTCGACAGGTTGCTTCCAATCCCTCTGCCGCGCTGAGGACAAGGACGACTTGGATTTCGCTGTGCTGGTTCCTAAGCTGCTTGGTTGGCCCGCGAATTCACTTTCGGATAACGCTCTCTTCCTTGTAGAACAAGCTTAGCTGCACGGCTTCTCATAAGCCACTTCTTCCTCGTGCTCCTCTGTGTGGATGACTTGATCGCCACTTGAATTCCGAAGTAGACGACCGAAATATTGGTCGTCGGTCTCCTATAGGGGTTGTCGAGTTGAATCGCCTTCACGCTTCTCTCGGTTTTGTTGGGCACCATTTTTAACGCTTGCAACTGATCTTCATGACTTGCACGCTCTCTTGAGGACCTCTGCTACCTCCAGGTCTCTACGGTTTGACGTGAGCTCCTTTTCGGCCGTCATCATGTACTCCGTGATTTCTTTGATTTGTAACTTGAACTTGTGAAGTAAAATCGTTAGAAATGCAGTCTTATCCACTCTGCAATAAAGCCTTTCAGAGATTACAAAAACCTTACGAAGTTCCAAGAAAAACGCTCTAATAGAAAGGGCAGCTAATGCTCTTTCTAAGTAGCACAATACCGAAATTGAATTTATATGGCGCATGCGCGGGAACTGCAAGAACTTTTATTACAACATAATAGTTAAGGCGCGAGTCTAGGTCACCAAGTACAAAGGGGTTCGGAAAAGAGCAGAAATTGAAGAATGCTGAAAGACTAGGGATTTGGAAGTCTGCAAATCATACCGTAAAACTGCTAATACATGTTTTCAAACAACTAGCGTAAGTCTAACTGGGCGGGGCACCAAGCTCGCTTCGGATTAGCCGTCTGCGGACGTTTCGTTAGTATCACAACAGCCATCGATGCATCGCGATCTCTTCCTTGCCCTTCTCGCCTTCATATGTGGTGCGTTCATTCAACCAAATTCCGCATGTAAAAACTAATGCTCCTGATATCCCAAAAAGATTCTACAACTAATTATGCTAAATCATACAAATGTTCTGTTCTGTGTATAGTGACCAAAACTCATAAAAATCCACTGAAACATCACGAGTCAGGCTCTGGGCTTCTAGATCTGATTTATCCGGTAGAAGCTGATAAAAAAGCAGTCATACTCGCTGTCAAAACCATAAATTATGTGAAAGTAGCAAACATGAAAAGGGTCGATAAACTCGTTTTTGATAAACGTCTCTCCTTTGATATCAATTCATGGCACAGTAGTAGCATTAAAAGCTTATCAACACATGTGAATCATTACATCAATGTAATGAAACGCGAAGTACAATCGATGTTTATGTCAGCGATTCCAATGCAGCAAACGAGCCTTTCGTCGTTTAACCACTTCTGGAGCAGAAAGCTCAAGTGTTCCGAGAAAAAATACCGCATAGGTAATGCCCCGCATAAGAATGGACTTGCATTAAAGGCACAATTCACGTTTAGAATGGTTTTTGAGGTCCCTTAATGTGATGAATCTGCGGGCCCCAAGGATAGCCTAAGGGACGCTGTCGGGTCGAAAAACAGACAAGATAGGGCATAATAAAAGCTTCCGAAACCGGCTCAGCCGGAGAATACACCCAAGGCGGACTAGCCAAAGCGCTGTGAAAGCTAAAGAGGTAGCACCATTTGCATCGAGACCCACACTTCGCATGCAGGCAGAGAGCTAGCTATGGCGCGCATTCGAACAGCTCGTCCAAATACCTCTTCCATGCAGTTTTTCGTGAAATTCTCGTCCAACCCTAATTTCCCCTCTTTCCTCATATTTCTCTGAATACGCCGATTACTGTTCTACTTTTGCACCATTCTATACTAAGCTCCATTACTCGTCTAAGACTAGATAACCAGGAACTATCGTGAGTTGTGCCTTTAAGTCGCTGCATTTAATCAGAACAAACATGGAAATAGTATTTTTGTAATAGTTCTCAAGTTTCTTCAAGAAATTATTCTTCAAGAAACCTTGAAATTAGCATCAAGTAGTCTACAGCTGAGCCAGACAGCTTTTTCATAAAAAACCGCGTTACTCAATTTTTTAAGCTCTGTATTCACACAATAGAATGCAACTTCTTCTTGGACTGCGCCGAAGTTCCAGAAATAGAATGGGCGACATGTGCGCCACGTCTGTTTCAAGGGCGGAATCAATCCTTCGATTATCAAACAGGTAGTACTAACAGAGGTGAACAAGTGACGGATGCAATGAAAGGTCTGAGGATTTTTCTTCGCGCCTCTATGATACAATCCGCATTGGCCTGCATTCAGAATAGTGGTGGCGTTCTGAATGCCTGTGCAGCCTATACTATTACTTGCAGGCAGTGATAACAGACAGTCCCTTTATCTTGAGAGATGAGTCTCATACTAATTAATCGAGTCCGTAGGAATAGTAGATTTCATTGACCCGGTCCAGTATCGATATGGGATTCGATTCCTCTACTATACATGTGATAGGGTGCCGCTTGGCAATACATCACTTCCGCTCTTCGGCTTTGGTTCATATTTAGTAAAGACTCCAGTTTGAGGTGCATGACGTCAAGGACGTCTTTCGTCAGAATTTTTTTCTGAGCCTCGATGATGCAAAAAAAGTGCAACTGGAATCGCATGAAGAGAATGGTTGTACAGTAGCGTTCGAAAGTCTTCGGTCAAATGCTCCTTCAGGGGGGGGGGGCGAATTACGCGAGACCCCATCAGAGCTCTTCACGCACGCAGCATAGCTCCAGTACCCTTCTGTTAAGATGGACCAAATAAGATCTGCAGCAGTCCACGGCTTCACCATCAATTAGAATAAATCTCTTTAAAATGGCAATGAAGCCCATTCGAGATTAAGAATTCCCTTCATAGGTCATCAATTTCCTTGTCAAGCGTTCAAAATAAGAATAACTTCAGATTTTTTGATCCTAGAAAACGCACTCCTTCTGCAAACGTGCATAGTTGGTCATTTTTTTACTTATGTTACTTATAAGTTCTTATTGCTCCCATTATGATGGTAGGCATGATGTAATAGCTCGTTTCGTCCGATGACCTCATTACATTGACGCGTGAGTAGCACCACACCCCTTCTTCAGCGTACTTTCAGTCATAACTCCTCTTCTACTGGATTTAGTCACGCAAAATCACGATGTGTGTAGCATGGGTGTATTGCGAATATTTACGACTATTAACCTACTATCTGATCATGTTCCAGATATCCAAGGAGCTTGAATTCAAAATCAACTAAAAAACACGGATGATGGTCCTTCAGGAATTTCTTTCCATTTTACCAATTCCAGAATGTACGAACGCTTATGCCGAGCATAGTAAAGGAGTAAATGCACATAAGGTGCGAGTAACTGCAGACGTCGCCAACTTCGCTTCCAACGATGTCTACTACCACAAAAAACACCTTGCCCTTAGTTATGTAGATATTGCTGCTTGCAGACAAACAGTGTCGGATAGTGTGAATCATGCTTTAGTTAAACATATCGAAATTTGGCGCGATTTCCTCCGCTAAGAAAAAAGTCACGAACGAAAAGCCTAAAAGCGTTTGGTCGAAGACTTTTAAGCTCTATTGTATGTTCTGCACGCCAGTACTGTTTGTAAAGTATTCTGTAGCGATGAAAATAGTCGCCACTAGATGAACACCTAGTGACGACTGGTAGAATTACCTAAATTGTGATTGTTGCTCTTCTGAGCTTCTGTCAAGACATGCATGGAACAGACAGTTGATGACTGTGTCGATGTGTGTGGGTGCCGGTGGGTGTGTTGGTGTGTATGTGTCCGTCGGTATGTGTGTGTGAGTGTCTGTGTGTGAGCGGCGGTGCGTATGTGTCAGTATGGTCTGCTGATCTGCATGTGTGTATCGGTGTGGGAGTGTGCGTTGTTTGTGTGTGTGGCGTGTGTGCCAATGTATAAGTCTTGCGTATTTTTGTGTAGGTGTATGGCTGTGTATACGTGTGTGTGTATGTCGGTATGTATGTGCCGGCGTGTGTGAGCGAGTGTGTATGTCGGTAATTGTGTCGGTGTTTGTGTTCGTGTGTGTGTCGATTCTTGTGTGGGTGTCGGTGTTTGTGGCAGTTCATGTGGGTCGGTGTACACTTATGTGTCGGTGTGTGTGTGAGAGTGGGTGTGTGTGTCGGAATGGTTCTGCCGTTGGATATTTGTGCGTGTGTCGGTATAATCCTGCAGGTATTCGTGTCGGTGTGGGGGTGTGCTTGGTTTTTGTGTGTGGTGTGTATGTCAATGTATACGTCTATGCGTGTTTTTGTCTAGATCTATGTCTCTCGGTGTTTGTGGGGGTTTATGTTGGTCAATGTGTAATTGTCTAACGGTGTGTGTGGGCGTCTGTGTGTATGTCGGTAATTGTGTCGGTGTTTGTGTTCGTGTGTGTGCCTCGGTGTGTGTGTCGATGTTTGTGTCGGTCTTTGTGTTCGTTGTGTCGGTATGTAGTCTGTGTCGGTGTATGCATCGGTAATTGAGTCGGCGTTTGTGTTCGTGTGTGGGCGTCGGTGTGTGTGTCGGTGTTTGTGTTCGTTGTGTCGGTATGTTGTCTGTGTCGGTGTGTGTGTGTGTCTTTAAGTGAGTCGGTGTTTGTGTTCGTGTGTGTTTGTCGGCAGTCATGTGTCTGTCGGTGCTTGTAGCTTATTGTAGGTGCCGGTTTGTGTGTCGTTGTGTGTGTAGGTTCATGTGTGTCGTTGTGTGTGAGTCGGTGTGTCTATATGGGCGTGTGTGTGCTTCGGTGTGTGTATGTTTGACCGAAAATCTGTGACTCCTGTTCCCTTCGATCCTGAGCGACCACAGACGGCAGTTTGATGGTAAGTGGTAAGACCTATTTCTGCCTACAAGAGATGGGACGTGCGCGACATTTTCTATTTGAGGGGCGTTGAAACTCGGTAAGGCCACAGGCGGCAGTGTTGGGTTTTAAATGCTAGCTGCTAGGAAGGACTGGAATCAACGGCAGGTAGGCCGAGCGTGCGCAGAAGTTGGTTTCTGAAAGAAAACTTATGATTCCTGCTCCACAATGAAGCTAGTGCGTCCACATCAAGCGGGAGTATAGGAGGCAATATAGGAACATGTATGGAATGTTGTAAAAAGTAACTGGACTAGATCTCGTACGCGAACATTAGGGCGTGACGCTTGAACATGTGGATTAAAGGGTTACAATTATTATAAT